GAATGACTGCACCTCTAAAGACCCCTCTGTCAAGCTCCTGAAGTTTGCGGACGACACTACAGTCATCGGCCTCATCAAGGACGGTGAGTCTGCTTACAGACAGCAGGTTAGAGAGCTGGCTGTCTGGTGCAGTCTCAACAACCTGGAGTTTAACACGCTCAAAACAGTGGAGATGATCGTGGACTTCAGGAGAAACCCCCCCGCACTCCCCCTACTCACCATCATGGACAGCACTGTAACGACAGTGGAGACCAAATCAGACATCAAGAGACTACAATGGACAGTCAGGACTGCTGAGAGGATTATCGTGCTCTTCTGCCCAGCCTCCAAGATCTTTACATCTCCAGAGTGAGGAAAAGGGCTCAGAAAATCACCTTGGACCCCTCACACCCAGCCCACTCTCTCTTTCAACTGTTGCCTTCTGGCCGGCGCTACAGAGCACTGACCACCAGAACAGCCAGGCACAAGAACAGTTTCTTCCCACAGGCTATATTCAGCCTGAACAATTAATATTTCATTATTATAATTAGTCCATTATATTACATATATCAGATCATAATTGTATATAGGGATCCTACAGCTGTAATGAAAATGACTCTGGATTCTGTTTCCTCACCTTGATGTGTTCAACTGTTTTCTGAAACTCTCCTTTCATTTTTTCATTGTGTTTCAGTTTCTCTTGTAAAGATTTCAGTGCTGTATTGTGCTCCTCCTAGAATTTAACAAAAATACATGAAACACCAGATTATAGTAAAAAAAAAGAAGAGAAGACGATACAGCGATATGATCATATAATGCTGATTTCTTCTGGTTTTGTGAACATCTCATCCTAAACTGATTCAGAAATTAAAACCTACCATAAAACAAAGAAACCTGAGTGAAGACAAAATACAGTTTGTAAATGCCAGTGATAATAATGCCTACTGGGCCTGTGTGAAAATGTGTTTGGTCTGTAGTTATTAATTCCCCAAATCTGTGAAACTGCATTGATAATGGGGTTCAGCTGAACTAAACACAAGCAGTCCTGATCAATCAAATCAACTCATAAACAGGACTTTTCAACAGCATGAAGTTAAAAATAAAAAAAAACTCATTTATCTCATGAGGAAACCACTTCATCAATGGGTTTGAATGTGTGATTGACGTGTTTTTGTGAATTAATACACACTAAACACACCGGCTGTTTGTCCTCCAGACAGAAGAGTTTGAGTTTCTCTCTGTGTAAACTGCAGATCTCCTCAGACTCTGATGAACGCCTCTCATTTCTGTCCTTCAGGAACGACTCACACAGGTTTTTTAACACTAGATTAACTGGAGGATTGTCTTTTGAGGATCTTCTCCTGCAGACGGGACACTCCTGAGTTTCTTTGGTTGTCCAAAACTGTTGAAGACACTCTTTACAGAAACTGTGACTACATGATAAAAGAACAGGAGTCTTGAAGATCTCACAGCAAACAGGACAAGAAAGCTCTTCTGCAGATACAGTTAGTGAAGCCATTTTCACTGTTCGAGCTCCAGCGATCTGAACTTTACTTTCACTTTCTGAACGATGGTTTGAAAAATGAATCAAGATCTGCTGTCGGTTCACAAACAAACGTCTCAAAAATTCCTATTTAAAGCATGTTTCTTCCTTCTTCGTTGATGGCTGATTCTTTATGGCTTTTGTCAGTAGAGAAGAGAGTCAGTGTGACAGAAAGCAGAAATAAGCCTCAGTCTCTTCCTGGTAAGAGCTGTAAGAGGAGGAGTTTCAGACAGGAACACTATAAAACCCTCAATAAAATACACAATAAAATACACAAATATTAATGTAGCTGTGTCCCAATGTGAAGGGTGTGTGTTTTGGAAAAACCATGGCTCTTATAAATGGTTCTTTGTAAACCACAATAAACCATAATTTTCTATAGCTTATTTCTAATCATATTGTTATTATTATTTTGCCGTCCATAAACTCATAAACAAAGCCACAAGATAAACAAACTGTATATAAAATCAACTAAATAATTTGACAAAACAAAAAGCCATTGTTTATTACACCTTCTGTAATAATTAATTAGACAAAAGAATATAACCTTCCATAAAGTGCAGAACGTTTGTTTATTAAATAGAACAAATGTAATATATATTCATGTTTGATTCATTAATCATTTGTAAACATTTATGCGGGAAAAGCACTGAAAATGTGTTAAGGAATACATAAAGGATCAGTTTATTTTCTCTTGCAACGATAATGTAGCCCTTCCATATTACTAAAACACATTTCTTGAGACCATCACTCGTTTTCTCAAAACCTTAAACACAAATCCAAATACTCAAACTAAACTCACAAAACCTCTGACTCTTCATCAAAATTAAACAATCACTGCAAAACCATTTCTCTTGCACTCAAAACCAAACCGTGCTCTCAGATCACACACACACACACACACACACACACGGGTCAATAAAATAAGCACTGCAGAGCATTCATTAGACACTACAGAGAAGAATGGAGAACACTGCATACAGAACATTACAGAAAAAAGTATATTGTATTGAGTAAACAATTTTGCGATTCTGTAAAAAAGTATTGCAACTGAGTAAGGTGAATATATTGTATAGGCCTACTGTATGTACTGCAAGAACAGTATTGTGCTGAATATTGAATAGTACTGAATTTTTGTATATATTCAGCGCTTGGATACTGCAAACAGTCCAACTGCAAAGGTCAAATAAAACTCTAAATGAATAGGATCAGGGTCAATGAGAGCTTCATTCTGTCTCAGCATCATGTCTGTGTGCTTGAGTCCGGCTGGAGGACTTTGTCCACATCACAAGTAATGCTGTCTTTTCTGCTAAACAAAGAGAAAAACCCATCCAGCCTCGATACAGTTTTTCTCGATTGCTAACACACAATTCATGAAACAATTCCCCGTTTTCTCACAACTATAAACACAATCTCAAAACTACACACAAACTTGTGCAAACTTCAGACTTCCAGCTCAAAATCAAATAGTTTAGTCAAAAACATGTTCTCTTTTGTCAGACTCAAACTTTGTCCTCAGATGACACACAAACCTGTCAGATACACACATACTGCACTTCCGAGAGAACACTAGCGAGATCAACTCAACACTGTTACTAAAACCTGCTTTTGGGAAACAGGGATCCTTTTGCTATCGATGTCTGTAACAGTATACGACATAAACAGAGGGATGCAGATACAGTAACATTCAGCATTAAACTGTAAGAAAAGTTCACTGTCATTACACGACTGTGAAGAGATCTTACAGCAGATGAAAAGCACTAGAAGAGAAAAGTTCAAAAACCAAACAACTGAATATACAGTAAACACACATTGGAATATACTCAGTTACTGTACAGCAATAAATTAATAAATTCTACATCCTCGCCATGTTGCATTACAGTTTTGGTAGTATCCTTATTTGTTATACTATAGCAGTTTCTTAGTCTTCTGACAAAAGATTTTGTCTGCCTCCGCTCGACAGTCGACTCTCACAAATACATGTAAGAAAATATAACTATTCTTGAGGTAGTTATATTGTGTGTTTGTGTTTTCTGAATGAGAACATGGTTAGGGATCGGGAGCATTACATGTAAATAAAAAATACAATTAATTTGTGCATTTTAATATTTGAAAGACAAAAGACTTCCAAAGACATAGTAATACATGGTTATATCATCAAAAGTTACAACCCACTGAGTGATAATTCAAATGAAATTAATGTTTATCCATAGGCCTAGTTATTGCAATGTTAAAATATTCACACAACACTTAATCAAATTAACATTATTTTGTAAATCCAGTGATCGAGTGCTGTGTGGCCTCTGTGTAGTTATATCTACCTGACTAGTGACTGCTCTTTGTGTGGATGTCCACATAACTGGAAGACTTTCTGAACGTGTATAAGGAGAGGGCTATTTTAGAAAGGAAACTTTAAAAGAAGAAATCAGGAGAATCAATAAATGATGAGCAATTCATTGGTAGAGTGTGAATAATCAATCATGCGATCAATAAAAAGTAACTGTAGTCAGATTACTAGTATTGTAAAATGTAATTTAATCTAATTACCTGATTATGTAATCCAGATGACATGTAATCAGTTACTTACTATCCAGCACTGCTGTAATTAAAGCTTATGACACAATGCTACATTTTTAGAAGGACAAGTAGAAAGTAGAATCTAGTAAAGCAGACACAAGTGTATTTGATTAAGGCATCATGGTAACTTGTCTGTATTTATGAACATCCAAATCCATTCAAATTGCGCATTTCAGTCATATATTTGGTGGTCTAAAACAAGTTTATATTATGTCAAATATGTTGTCAAATATGTTGGCCTAGGCAGTTTTCCGTCTTGTTTTATGTGGTTAATATCATTTAGTGCTCTGCTATCTGTTAGGTGCTTTTTGCTTCAGATCGCAGGAACAGGTGCTTTGTTGCATTCAATCTTGTGAAGTTCAGACAAAGGCAGGGGCATATGGGACAGATCTGGCTCCCACACATCAAGCTGGTTTTAGTGTGTGTTGTGGCTTGTTGTTTGTGTGTGGGCCGGATATGGCCCCTATTTGAGAAAACAGCTTTATGGTGAGCTGTGGCTTGTTGTGTGCGGGCCATA